ACTGAGGTACCGGGTGGGTGGTGCAACCAGAGAGGGACGGGAGCTCAGTACCCCCACCCCCATGCCTTACCTTATGCCTCTCCTTCATCCTGCAGGTCCTGAGTTGTATCCTCTATAACAAACCAGTAACTACAAGTGAAGTATTGGCCTGAGTTCTGTGAGCCATTTTAGCAAATGATTAGACCTGAGGAAGGGGTTGTAGGAACCCTCTAGATTTTATAGCTACGTCTGACAGAAGTGTGGGTACTCTGGGAACCCAAAACTTGTGACTGGCATCTGAAGTAAGGACAGTCTTGTGGAACTGAGCCCTTAAACCTGTAGAGTCTGATGCTAACTCTAGGTAGACAGTGTCAGAATTTAATTGAGTTGTAATCCTACAACCTAGTTAGTGACCCAAGAATCAGTTGCCTAGTGGTGTCAGAAGTGTTGATTTGAGTAGAATAGCAATGTCAGACCCTCGCCCAACCTTGGCACCTTCTTGGGCCCTTTTTAAAAGAATCTGTTCCTGCCATCTGTCTTTCTGCCACCCAGCCACTATTTACCAAGGTCACCCACTCCCTGTCTTACACTCTCTGAGCCACACTATCTCTGCATCAACATCTGGGCTCCACTCAGTTTCCAGAAGGAACATTCCCTCCTCTTCACACCTGATCCCTAACTCTGCTCCTCCATTCCCTTCCCTAGCCCTGCTTCACCCAGCCAACTCCTGCTCGTCCTCCATTCCTCAGCCCAAGGGTCACCTCCTCCAAGAGGCCTCCCTGCTTTTCTCTCTCACATCTCCTTGCCATTCCTATTTGACAACTCCTATTATCTATGTGGTGTGTGTCCGCCAGATCACTGCATTCATGCCCGAGGACCATGTCCTGTCCACAGCAGGCACATGTCCAGCACTCGTGGAGCAGATGAGTTTGGGCTAGGCCCACTCAGTACCATGGGAAGAGGGCCCAAGAGGTTGTATGTGTTGAGACAGGGTCTGGGGAGAGAAAACAAGATCTTCCTTTGATTGAGCCAGTGAAGTCACTGGTGAGAGAGTGAACCCAAGGAGTTATAAATAGCCCTGGAAATCATGCATATTACATTAGGGGTGTTGGTGACAGCTTAAGTATATTTCCATAAGGTTCCATTATATTTACGTATTAGTTAATGGATACTTAAAATATTATGTTACCGTAATGCTCATGTTTTATTAGCAAACTATCACATCAAATGGAGTTGCTAAGTGTGATGGAAAATTAGCTCTGCAGCTAGATTTCTGTATTTTCACACTGAATTTTTGATTTCTAATTCCCTGCCCACCCACCTCTGGTGAGGTGGTTTTCTGCAGAACACTTGTGATCTTTACCCTCCACATGACTGAGAGGCTTGGAAGTATGGAGGGAGGATCCTGGCCCCTCACTCCAAGGCAAGAGTTTGAGCTTAGCTTTCCGAGTGATCCAAGCTCAGTCATTAATCTGCTGTGTGACCTTGAATAAGTTATTTGCCCTCTGTTAAATAAAGAGTTAGACTTGAGTATTAGTATTAATCAGGGTTCTCCAGAGAAACAGAACCAATAGGATGTACACAGATATAGATGGTATAGATAGAAAAAAAGAGAGAAAAACACTGGGTGTCATGGTCCAGCCAAGATGACACATAAAATTAACCACCATTGTTTCTAAGCTTCTTAAGGTTCTGTGGGTTGAATTTGGGGCATATATGCAAGGGAACCTCAGATCCTGTTGTCTTCAGGTTGAGAAGGTGGCTGGAGGTGGCCACACGTGCCAGGAACCCCAGACTTCCCAAAGGGTGTGGCAGGACAGAACTGAGGACCTTGCCCTTGGTGGTCTTCATCTCTTCTCTTCTCTCTTCCTGGAGGGGCAGCTCCAGATAATACCTGCTGAAAGGTTGGGTTTTTTTTTCAGACTTTGTTCAAGGATGCCAAGAATCTGAATGGGAAGAACTGGGAGAAAGGTGCTCTGGGTGGAGGAAAGCTTGCGGGCAGAGAAACTGGGTGGTGAGAAACTGCTGGCGTGAAGAGGCAAAGCGAAAGCCACAGGAGCGCAGGGGTGGGTGGAGCCTCGGGGACTCTGCAGCATCCTCACACCCAGCCCAGAGCCCTGGGGCGTCCCAGTGTGGTCCTGGAGGTGGTGATTGCATCCTGCTCCCATGGAAGCTGACAGCTGCTGAGGGACAACCTCAGGGTGCCTCACCTCCCAATGAGCAAATGGAAGTCAGTGAATAGGGTTCCAATCCCAACTTCCCCATTTGTTAGCTACCTAACCTCTAAGGCAAGGTACTTCTGTGAACCAATTTCTTCACTGCGCAAGGGAATCAGAGCAGGACCTCCTATGCTACAGGGCTGTAAAAAAGTTTTGGTAAATTCATACATCGAAAATTATAGATAAAACCTTGGTGAGGATTCAAGTATGAACTTAAGACACTTCCTAGCTGGGTGACCTTGGATAATTCCTGCAGCTTTCTGATCCTCAGCTTCCTTGTCTGCAAAATGGGGATTTAATAGCACTTACCTCCCAGGACCATCTGTTCCTGTTATGTGCCAGGCACTGCGCTAGACGCTGAGAATGCAAGGGAGGAACACAAAGGGGCAACTTCCTGTCCTTGTGGAGCTGACATTCTAGTGGGAGGTGTGTGTGGTGGTGGTGGTGGTGGTGATGGTATTAATAGCAATATAACGAAGCAAAACGTATTTTGAAATTTATAATAAGAGTTGTGGGGAAAAAAAAGAGAACAAGAAAGTGGGCTAGGAAATACCCCGAGGTTAGTTTGACTTTAAATAGAGAAGACCTCACCAAGAAGGTGACATTTCAGCGAACACCTGGAAGGAGGATTAAATGAGGTAACAGCCTAAAGCAGAGAGAAGGCAAACTAAGGTCTGAGGGCCAAATCCCGCCATGTCCACTCCTTGACGTACTGCCTGTGGCTGCCTTCTCATTAAGATAGAGTTGAGTAGTTTTAACAGGGATCCTATGATCCACAAAGCCTAAAATATGTACCATCTGGCCTTTTCCAGAATAAGTTTGCCAACTAGCATAAAGTACTACGTAGATTATCTGAACCCTACCTGGACTTTATAAAATTATTATTATTATTAGGTCACAACTAAATGATGCTGCCCCTGGTGGTGGCAGCAAGCAAGGGATCAGATGGGACTCCTCTCCCTGCACCAGGTGGTGGATAAATGTCTCAAATCCTGTATTTAGAAAGTATAGCATCTTGACAGACAGAGCATGGGGAGAGGGGACTCCAGGCTGAGCAAACAGCCTGACCCAAAGGCTGGTGGGGGATGACAGATTGTGTCTGGAGAAAGGTAAGTGGCATAAGGAAATAGGCCTCCCATTTCCACCTCCAAAAATATCCGTCCCCTGCACGTGGCCAGCAGCAGGGTCGGCCAGACCCCCGGCTGTCAGTGGGCTGCCGGCTGTGGCTGTGGGCTGGAGGAGCCAAGCGAGTTAGCCGCCTGATTGAGTTATGACAGCTCTTCGAGCCCACCGGGAAGCCTGGCAAGGCGGTCCTAGCGGGGGCCTACAGACAAATGATGATAAAGTGCTCACTTTAAGGAACCATCTCCATAATATTTCATGCTCACGGCAGGGGCAGGGGGCGGGCAGGCTGCCCTGGTGGCACAGCTAACTACTCCATCAATTGATTTGATTCACGGCAGCAGCTACTCCCAGTCATAATATTTCAAATAAATGGGGCCGTGGATAGAAATAATATCTGCATCAATATTAACCCTGAAAGAACTAATGGACATAAGCTATAATTTCCTGGACACCCTAATCATGCATTTTGACCACTGTTGGCATGGGACAATTTTTCTTTCTCGCTTTTCTCTCTTTTGCTCGTCTGTCTGTCTCTCGTCCTTAACATCTGTCAGACCTGCTTTGTTCACCCCGAGACTATGATTTTGGGAATTTGGTGGTCCCTGTTCTCATCTTCCACCAACCATAATACCTTATCTCAGAGGAAGCAGAGGAGAGCCTAGGCTTCTTGGCCCATTTATTCCCAGCTGCTTTTGAAATGCCCCTAGGGAGGGCTGAGTAGCTTTGCTTGGTGGGGGAGTGCTTGCCTGGCAGGCTTGTTGGCAAGGATGCCCAACTGATTCTTTCCTGTCATTCATTCACCCACAGATACTCATTGTGTACCTACTATGGGCTGGGCACTTTACAAGGTGCTTGGGGTACATCACTGAACAAAAGGGAAAAATGTCTGTCCTGTGGAGCTTACAGTATAGGCACCCAGGAAGACAACTATTAAGCCCCAAGCACACAAAGAATGAACTACATGGTTTATAGCACGGCTTGGGTCCCCTCCAGTCTCAAGACTGCAGACCTAGGGGACAGGGCTTCTCAGAGGAGGGAAGGGTGATGGTTGAATTAGAGACTTGCTGCACCTTTTCTTTTCTGCACTGGTGAGGAACCACTGTCAGAAAACTAAGTACAGCCATCAAAGGTGTTTTATTTGGCCTGCATAATATATACTTTTAATTCATTAATTAAATGTAAAGAGGAGATTTTGCTTAAAAATCAGTTTCCACTCTTCAGAAATGGGAAGATCCAGCATTGCCCACATTCTCACATGGCAGCAATTGGCTGGACAGGGTTAGCATCTACCCTGTTAGACAAAGCTCATGCTCTGGAGCATACCGCAGGCCCCACTGCTCCCTGTTGTCCGAGCCCAGCCTGACAGTCACCACTCAGTGTGACCCCATTTGGGCACCCGCACTCCTGGCCCCTGGGTTTCATCTTGGAGCTGGTTTCTGAACTTCTCGTGCCTGCTCAGGCCCCTCTCCCCACATAGCCCCTACTTCTGGTCCATCCTCTGCACTACAGCCTTTTCTTCACTCTTCTTTTTGATCCAATTGGTTTCTTTTCTACCATTTTGTGGCTCTATAATCACAATGCCTGCCTGGGGCACCGCATCATTTCATGGAAACAGACACATTTAGAGGTGGGTTTGGAAGCAAGATCTCTTTATTTTATAGGATCAGGGCACTCAGTCTTTCCTTTGCTCTCTCTTCAGCTGAATTGTGGTCTTTTATTCCATAATTAAATTAATTCCTAATTAAAAATAAATAAATAAAGACTAATGTGAATACATAAACACAATTATGTAAATATATGTGTGTGTGTGTGTGTGTGTGTGTATATGCTGTATGATGTTGGCCACCAATACAGATGACTGAGTTTGATCCTCTGCATGTGTGTGTGTGTGTGTGTATAAAATGTGAGTAGCAATTTCCAGAATTGGCAGATGCAGAGCTTGTGAGAGTGTGAGATAGTCACTAGAACCAGATAAATCTGGTTTAACCCAACCACTCAGCTCTTGTTATCTGTGGGACCTTATTCCTTCACTTCCTTATCTTTAAAACGGGTATAACAATGTGACATATGTCATAGGGTTGTTTTTGTGAAATAAAGTATTTAACACATTGAAAGTCTAATAAGAATGGTAACTATTATTATTTTTTCTATTATTCTGACTCTTACCATTGTATTACCACTCATTCTCCCCAGGGACACAGGGTGGTTCAGTGTGGGTGGGAGCTGGTGGTAATCTCTGGAGGTGACCCAGAGGTCACAGTCTTGTCAGTGCTAAGGTCTGGGCGGTGGTTCAAAGTGGCTTCCTAGCTAAGCAGACCACACCTTTGGATGTCCATCCATACTTCTGCTAGAGAGTAGCTTCCACTCCAACCCAGAGGGCAAATGTGAGGGCCGCTGTGTACACACACACTGAGTAAGTAACCCCAGGACACCATTCTTCTAGACAGTGGTTGCCAGATGTCAGCATGCAACGGAATCACCGCGAGGGCTTGTCAAAGCAAGATTGCTTGGCCCCAGACCCGGAGTCTGAGAATTTGCATTTCTACCAGATTCTTGGATAATCCTGCTGCTGCAGGTCCAGCACTTTGAGAAGCACTAATTTGACTACAATATGGCAGGGAAGTCATGTTGAGTAAGGGAATTCAGAAAAATGTACCCACAGGATATAGGAACCAGAAAGGCTCTGGCTCTCCACTGTTTGTGCCAATAGGCTGCCCAGACAGGTGAATGAATGAGCAAATGACCTGACTCTACTCAGAACCCTGAATACCTCTGTTTCTCCAGTTGGTTTCCCTGAGTGGGGCTGGCACAGGCAGTATGGAATGCAGTCTCTGGCCAAGGACCCAGTGGCTGACAGCCAGGGCAGATGGGCCAGAAGTGGGTAGGGAGGATAGGGCATTCTCATGGGGCAGGATGTGTTCATGAGAAGTGAGGGTGATGTAGGGGTCTAGCAGAGATGGTGCCTCCAGATTTAATCTTCATACCTGTCAGAGGGGGCATGCAGTTAGCACCCACTCATGGTCTGGGGAGCTCCCTGCTCCCCAAAGCCTGGCCCTGCAGGAATCTGTTGGCAGGCCATTTCCACCTCCCTTTTTGGGTCTGAGGGTATCCCCATCCACTCCCCATTCATGCATAGGAAGGGAAGATCGATGTATCACACATCTCTTGTGCACCACTTCAAAACCTCTCAGTCTCCCCTCCCTCCTTAGACACTGCTATAGTAACCAGTTCCACTTGGGCTGCAGTTGCTGGGCACAGGTGCAACCTAACAGCACATCGCCTTGACCCATGCCCCGTTGGTCTCACTTCCTGCCAAAGCTTCTCTAACACCATCTCATGGGATGCTCAGTAGTCACACATGGGCGACCTGGGAGTGAATGTTCTTGTCCACAGGGGATGGAAACCGATGGGTCATTGCTTCCCCGCTTCATTCTTCAGGTGGCAGTTCTGATATGCATGTCTTAAGACTCCCAGGTAGTCCCAGAGGATCATCAGCTCAGTCCCCCAAATTGGTGTCCAACAGCACTGGCCTTCCAATGACTTCCAACTGACCTCCGTTCTTTCTCACCTCCTGTCCTGCATGCCTGCATCCTGGCATCGTTCCTTAAAGAACCTCTTGAACATAAAACTTTGTATCAGGCTTGGCTTTGTGGGGAGGCTCTGGCTAGACAACTCTGGTCAGGGAAACTCTGGTTAGAGAACTTCCTAAATAGAGACTCCAAGCTTGACAGAGATCATTCACCATCTAACCATTCAATAAATGCTCTGACCCTGGGGGCATGTGCTGGGCCCAGAGCTGAACAATGGACAAGACCAATGAATAGGTCATTAGGTCATGGCCTCAAGGGCTCCCAGTGCCTTGGGGAAGGAGTCAGAGAGCTAACTGAGTTTTGAAGGAGAATAAATGCCATAATCAGGAGAAACAGAGTGGGCACCCAACCGGCTCTGCCCAGAAGAGGTGATATCTAAGCTGAGATCCATCAGTAGACCAGGACAAAATCCAGATCAGCTCTTCAGTTTTCAAAGTCCATCCCAGGAGGACAGGAATTGAATATATGCAATGAATATGATTTACCATGTCATCCTTTCTAGAATATACTGGAATCTACTGATCTTCCGTCATGTCTCCCGTGAGTCTAACCAGAGCCTGGTTGCTCCACTTGTCTTTGGTTCTGGTCCTTGAAGGTACAGAGAAGAGGGGTTCCCACCACCAAGAGGGCAACTTGGTCAGTCCTCAGACAGCCCCCCACAGCCGGGGGATTCTGTGCCCGCCCCGAGCCTCTGCCTTCTCCCTCTCTCAGCCACCTTTGGCTGAGTATGGGAGGGGACTTGACCCTGGGGCATCGGGATTGCAGGCGGTATGTCTCTGAGGGAGACAAGCCTCCATCTCCCAATGGGGATCAGAGGCTCACCCGTCTCATTGCCGCCATCCTCCTCTCAAAGTGGAACCACCTGGGGCTGATCAAATGGCGACTGGGGGACACTCCACACGTGTCCTGTCATCGCTGGGGATTCTCCCTCCAATTCTCACAGGACTTCTGCTTTGATTTCTGAAAAAAGCATGAAAATAAAAATGAGTCACACAGATCTTTTCAGATGAAGCGGCAAAGTCAGCCAAATTAAGTGTTATCTTCCCTAGTGACACAAAGATTCTGGGAGGGCCCCCCTTAGATTCGCCTGACCTGCAGAGAGGTGAAATGGGCCCACCTCAAGAGACTCGCCTCCACCCTAGCTGTGCCGGGCCTTTCTGTGCTAAGGTCTCTCTTACCTCACATGGGGACACCATCCCTTGGTCCCTGGGCTGTGCTAGGGGACTGGGTTTCTGCTCTGCTTTGCTGAACTCTTGTTCTTACTCATTCTGGGAAATGTGGGTGCCACCTCCTTGAGAGAATGTGGGATTTGGCTCTTAGTTTCTGCTGAGAGCCAGCATTTCCTGAGGCTGACATTGGGCCAAGTCCTCTGTGTGGCAGAGCAAATCCTGTCTAACTCTCAGACCCCCTAGGTGGTGGGGTCAGCAAGGTCAGTTTCCTCCCTCTCTGGCACCAGGGGAATTTGGCTGAGACCAAACCAAGCTACCGTGGCAGCCATCCCAGTCAGAGACAACCTGCTCCTTGGCACAAATTCCCTGAGGAAGAAGTCAGCTTACCAAGTTGGTGTAGCCTGGTACTGGCTTGGCAGCCCAGAAACCTGTGTTCTGGTCCCAGCTCTGCTTGCTGTGTGACCTTGGACAAGTCACTTTCTCTCTCTGGGTCTCAATACCTCCATCTATTAATTGAGCAAGCTGAGGCATTTCTCACATTCTGAGATACTAAATATGATTCCAGGAGCCCAAGGAAAAACATATAGATAAACACAAGCTTTAGGGAGGGGCCCTTTGCAACCCAGCAGCCTGCAGCATCCTTGGGAACAAAGTAATGGATTCGGAATTCAAAGATCGTGAGGTTCTTTATTGCTGAAGGGGGAAAGGTCCGAATATTGCTTAGCAAATTACCATCTGCTAGGGGCACCATTATGCCTTGACACAACCATTGGTCAGCAAATTGGTCACATTATTGGTTAGTAAATTTGAGGCTGCAGAATTATTTATTGGCAAATTAGAGATGGCAGAATTATTGGTTGGCGAGGCCAGAATTGCAGCGATTGGTTAGCAAATTAGAGATGCCTGTTTTGGTCTGTGAATAAATCATGGCTGGTCAGGGTATTGGAGGCCAAATTAGAGGTGGCCGGGTTATTTATGGCCTAGCCAGGAAAGCAGAAAGCGCATTTGCCTGGCAGAAAGGGGGTCAGCCCTCAACGTGGGGGGTTACTCCTTGAGAGTGCCTCCAGGTTGGCACTTTTCAAAGGGATGATTATTATTTTCTAAGCACTAATGATAAAGTGGCTTGAGCCAGATTCTTGTTCTGCACCTTCTAGACCCCTTCTCCTAATCCTTGTTTCCAAAGAGAGCTGTAAAGATGTTTGCAGTCCTAGGGCTGGTCAGTGGAGTAGAGGCCCAGGGAAAGATCTGAGCAGAGTTCTTGGCTAGAGAGGGAGCCAAGTCTGATCCAACAACACGCTATCCACAGGTAAGACTTCTCCAATTGTCCGCAGGCCCAGCCTAGTATGAGGAACCACAAGACATGTAAAGGCCCTGATCTCAGGAGCTCAGGATCAAGTTGAAACTGCATTTCTCCAAGGCTCTGGCCAGATCCCAGTTTTCTGGGTAGTCCACCTCTTCCCTGGCAATCTCCAGTGACTCACTCCTGTCTGAACCTTTTCAGTCTCAACCACTTAGCACTCAGTTACATTCACCTGCTTTCTAGTTGCCTTTGACTCTTGTTGAGCTTTTCATAGCTCCTTTTCTAGATGAGAAGTTTCTGACAGCAGTATTCCATGGAGACCGGCAGAGGATTGGACATATGTAGGTTCATATTGATGCTTACATGGCTATATGTATGTATCTATAGATAGATGGATATATCATAAGGAGATGAATGAAAAATAGGTAGATGAGTAGATGGATGGATAGATAGATGGGTGGATGGACTGATGGGCAGATGGCTAGTAGGTGGATGGCTGATGGATGGACAATGAACAGATGAGTGAGAAATGGATAGATGGATGGATGGTGTTTGGATGGTTAGATAGAAGAATGAATAATATTGCTGATGTTTATAGAAGCCAGAGATCCAAAAGTGGGGAAACTTGGGGTTTCAGAGTTCCAGAAGTAGGATTTGAAGCCAAGCTATCTACTCCCATCCTTGCCAAGCCCAAGTTTTTAAATTAAACAAACAAAAAAACAAAGGCTATTGTTACTGTTCACCCATCCTGGGCCATAAGGGAAAGACAGCCACAGTTTAGTTGCTCCAAGGGCAATGAGCCCTCCTCATCCTGAGCCTGCAGAGGAGAACAAGTGACGGGGAGAGCCCAAGCACCTCAGGCTCAGAGAGAACACGGTGTCACGGGGCCCTTCGGCCTCCACAGGCCTCATGAAGTCTTAGCAAAACAGGGAGTCTCATCAGCTTGTAATGACAAGCTGAATTTCAACTTTCTAAGGTGACTATATACTCGCCCCATCACTTATCCCCATCTCACCTTAGGAGGCGACTTGGGGTGAGGGGTGTCATCTCTTCATTTTACAGATGAGAAAACTGAAGTTCAGAGGGGAGGAGTGATCTTCCCAGGGACCCACCATGTGATAGGACTAGAATCCAGTCTGCTGATCACCACCTCTGCTCCCCCATAGCCCCACCTCCAGCCAGACAGAAGCAGCTCCCCCTTCCCTTCCTCTAATTTTTGATACCCACGAGCACACCTGCACCACACACACTCCGTGTTGGATGCATGGAGAGAAATCAGTGATGTTACAGTTTCATTGTAGAAACTCAGTATTAATCCCCCGCCTTTATGTTTTTAGCCTTTCATTTATTCCCCAGAAAGGCTGCTCTGGTGTTTTTCAACAGCGGTCATTCTGTATGTCCACCTCCCAGGTCTGTTCTCCTCATGGTTCCCTCCCCTGGGAGGGTGACCCCCGTGGATCTGCATTATCCAAACTTCCCTGCCCTCCTGGCTTCTGGTTTGGCTACAAGAGGCACCAGCAGGACATCAGAAAGTGGGAAGAAAAAGAAATTGTGACATTTCTTCCCAGGTCCCTCCATGCTTTCTTTCTGTGTCTCTGCTTAAACTATATCCCTTCATGATGGCAACTCCCACCAGCTGGTCCCTTCACTTCTAAATTTCTCCAGACTCCAGAAACACTACTTCCTCTCCTCTTCCCTTCAGCCCTAAGGGTGATAACAGAGCAAATCTCTGGGAGTGGGGATCTCAGCATACCCCCTTGCCAACTCTTTTAACCCTGCCAACACCTCTGTCTTTAGTTTCTTGGTTAAGGTTAGTTCATTTGAACCATCTGTTGACAGAAGAGGAAGCAAACCAAACAGGTGCCAACGCCTGGCTTCCTCCTCCTCCAAGCTCAGCTCAGACCACCAAACTCTGGTCATATTCTGCATGCCGCTTTCCCACATAGTCTTAACAGCCACTGAAAGGCACCTTTTAGGGAGAATGAGCTTGGGACAGATAACTACTCCCCAGCTTCCTCTACCCCCAAAACCCACCACCAGCTACTCATCTGTGCCTTGAGACAGCATCATGATAAACCCACCATGACCTCCCGTGGGAGACTTTCCCCCCTCTGTCCTCAGTGTCCTCATCTTTTAAATGGGGACAGTAACACTGTTATGAGGATCAAAGGAAATCTTGTGTATGTAGTGTCTGCAACACAGAAGGCACTCAATAAATGGGAGATGTACTACCACTCTAAATGATAACCATCATTCTATTGTGGGACATTTCAGTTGTTTCAGTTTTTCGCTACCATAAAGGATGCTGTGATGACCATCTTTGTACGTACAGCATTTTATTATTATTTTCTTAGGGCAGGTTATTGGCCTAGTGAAGTTGTCAAAGGAGGCAAAGTAGAGTTGGTCAGTTTGTAAAGACAGCCAAATTAGTCTTCCAAAGCTGTCTGCCTGAATGGTTTTAATAGTAGCAGCCACCATTTATTAAGTGCTTGCTGTGTGCTTAGGAGTGGCTGATACCACCCCCTATGAGGTAGGTCTTTCATTATCCCCCACTTAGAGTACAGAATCCTGGAACACAGAGCAGTTCAATCACTTGCCCAAGTCATAGAATCTGGCTATGAAACCACTAGAGATTCAGGTTCAGATCCACCTGACTCCAAAGTCCCTACTTTGAACTGATCGCTGCTGTGTTTCTGTGACTTTGTTGCAGGAGGCTGGCCCAGACTCTGTCCCTGACACCTGACCTCTTTAGCTAAGCCTGGGCAAACTGCTCCCCACATGCTCCCTGGAGCTGTGGGGGAAGACACTGGGCCTGATCAGGTACAGCTGGAATGAGGAGGCAGGAACCCTGTCACGACTGTGTCCCACCCTGAGGTGCCCCAGCTCCTACAGCTCAAGAGACCTCTAGGTAACAGCCTAGAGAGCTGGAACCAGGTGAGGCCTCACAGAGCCCGGAGGACGAGCCTTTGCTCGCATGGAAACCACCTGGCCCCCACCTCCCCGGGACTCCCTAAGTCAAGTCCTGGCTCTTCTAAGGTTGGACAAGGCAGGGCTGAGGAAGAGCCACTACGCTGGGCAACACTTTCTCCAGACGGCAGTGGGGAAGGAGCAAGCGGGGTCATTCCTCCGGCCTGCTTTGCCTTCCTCCCTGCTACCATGTTGTAATGCTCTGTTGGAAGGCTCATTGTACAGATTTGGTCCAGTCATTGCAGCTCAAATCTGTGGCCTCCCGTGCCCAGAGCTCAGAGGGGAGCCAGTGCAGGGGAGACCTCAGGCAGCTGGCGGAGGAGGGAGACCAACTGCTTCAACTGGACATGCTCCCCTGGCTGCCCCCACCAAGTCAGCCGGGCTCTGGCACCCTACCATGGCCTCCGATAGGATGCAGGGGCTTCAGGAGAGGCACTGGCCCCCAGCCTCCCTGGCTCTGAGGACAAGCAACAGGAGCCCACAAGAGGATTTAGAGCAAACGCTGAGCTGTCTGTTGGGTCACACATGAGGACAGAGATGGAAAGCTCAGTGCACGGCTCTGTTCCCTTTCTGGGTTGGCCAGGGGGACAGGCAAGGGCTGCTCCCCCACAGTGGATGGGGCTCCAGCTGATGGGTGCCAGGGCTTGCTTCCCCAGGGTGAACGGGTCCCAGCTAATGGCTGCCCAGCACAGATGTCCTTCACTGTCTCCCATTCCACAGGCCTCCTGGGTGCTGAGAACCAGCCCGACATGACCATGGGGCCATGAACTGAACCCAAATCCATGACCATTTGTAACACAAGCCCAGCCATATATTTTTT